TAGATATGTTTGCTGCACATCATAATGCACAACTATCGAATTACAGGACTTTAAATCATCCTATGGGAGACGCCTTTCAAATAGACCTCTCCCAACATAATGCGTGGGCTAATCCACCATGACAGTTAATTGCCCAGCTATTAAATTATGCTTATATACATAAAGCTACCATCACGTTGTGTTGCCCATTACGAAGTAAAAATCCATGGCTTAATAAATTGATCAACATAATTCAATGCGAGCCAATATATTTAGATAGGGAAGTAGATACTTTCCTATATCAGGGTACCCGAGCCGTCCAGGGGTACCCGAGCCGTCCAGAAGACGCGTCGTATAGGTCCCATTGGAACAACCAAATGGACCCCTTCTGAGACCTTCCTTAACCAGGTCAAAGAATCAGATATTCCACTCTCTATCCAATTGAACGTTAAGCAGTATAAAGGCAACACAGCATTTAACGTCTGTGCACAAGAAATACAATCTACTAATGACACTGTTAAGAAGCGTCAGTCTCTAGCTAGGACTCTGTTTAATAACATAAAGTCCACGCCCGAGGTCTTTCAAACCTTATTTTTAAAGGGATTAATGAAAGACAATCCTGAAGCGTATACACATATAATGCGACTATTTAATAAGTAAGGTGTATCTAACACACATGAGCGCGATTATGACGCTCATGCAAAAACAGGACAGGAGTCTGAAAACACTACAGACTTAGAGATCACGCAAGTGGATTCTCAACACCCTACCTTTATTCTGGAAGAGCAGAATGATGAAAACATTATTGCTTGGCTGAAGTAACATCATAAGCTGAAGCACCAGAACGTAGTAGAAGCACTTGAAGATGCTAAGCGACATGGGACCCTAAGCTGGAGACTTTAGTTGACAGAGTATATCAGTCATGCACAGACTGTGATCTCAATCAGATCAAGCGCTATGGTTTCGCACCACTTAAGAGTGTGACTGAAGATGTTTCATGGCGCAGGGTCATCATTGATCTGGTTGACCTTCCCACGTCCGAGCACACAGGCGACCGTTACGTTTGCCACTTCTTTGATGTGGCGTCACGGTTTAACTTGCTCTATCCATTAAATGATAAGAATACGCAGACCGTGGCAGAATTATGTTGCCAAGTTCTTGCTGACCTCGGGTGGCCGGATATCATGTGCACTGATAACGGTAGTGAGTTCTGCGATGACGTTATGGAATTGCTAGTACTCGTATCAGGCATATGCCATAAGAGAGGTGTGCCATATAAGCCGCAAACGCAAGGCGCGAATGAAACGCGCCATAGAAGACTTAAGTTTTTCTTGCGTACTGCATTAACGGATGATGCAGATGATTGGCCGTACCACCTTAAGTGGGTACAAACACAGATGAACGAGTGTGCTGATCCGGTTACAGGAGCTACACCCGCTCACTATTTTCGTGGCAGATATAGTGAGTTACAAATCCCTTTTAACAAGGACGAACCCGATCGCCATGAGTTACCATGGTTAAAGAAGGTCCAACGTATTTATAAAGTTGTATATCCTTGCTTGCGAGATATACGCAATATAGCCTTATTAAAAAGGCAAAAGCTTTGGAACACTACCAAGAAGATAGCAGAGTATCAGGTTGGTGACAGAGTTAACATCCGTCAACGTAGTTCTGATGCTACTGTATTAACATCTAAATGAATAGATCCACATATAATCGCTGTAGCAGACACTAAAAGTGGAACGTACGAGGTAAATAACCCCGATGGTTCTAGTGCGCTTAATATAGGCACAACTCGTATTCCGACTACAGATAGTATACTCGCAAGAAGACATGACTCTAATTCCCCTCATGATCGTTCTGAATTTAAAGACATTATATGGAGAACGGATAAGGGAGGCTATACATACTATCGTACACGCTTTATAGACGGTACAATAGCTGAGTTGACTTCAGATGCTTTCGATAACCAAGACTATTTAAAATCCTTTAATCGAAAATGGCGTAAACGCCTGCATAAGTCACAAGCTGAAAAAAAAATAGCATGTTTCCATCGTCTGAAGGAACGGATGTTAAAACTTATCCGCCTACAGCATTTATCCCGAGCCTTAATGCGCATCCTTCATATGTGCTTAAGACACTGAAGCGTAAAGAACGTCCAGTCGACCACCACGGACCTACTGGACCTAAGCCCAAAACTCACAGGGTAACCGAGAACACTTAACTTCTCCGCCTGAGAAACATTAATTATATGTTATGCTACTTAATGTTTCGACCCGTTTTTCCTTTCTCGCTTTTTGACCCATAATCAGCTTGAGTGAGCAACTTGCTTCTCTTGGGTCTCAAAGCTGGGTGGGGGCTGTGTAATAAGCCGGGCCTCCACATTAGACTCTATGTATAAACGTACTCTTAAGCAGTACGCAAATTATAAACGTACTCTCAATAGTACGAGGAACTTAAGTCTTCTAAATGTGCTCTTAATAGCACGAGGAACTTAAGTTTCCTAAAATGGTTTTTAATGGTTCAATTAATTAAACCTTTTCCTTTTAACATATCAGATATCTGGATGAGGCCATTAAAAGGCCTCAGTAAAATACCAAACATAAAAAGGTTGATCTAGTTCTATTAATAGAGCTATATTTACTTTCCAATATTTTATATATCTAAATACTTCGGTAGCGAGATGGCTCAACCGAATATAGGTTTCTAGGGACTATTAACGTTACCTAGTTGATCCTCCGATAAGCCAACAAGATGTCTGAATGAAGGCTAAGTCGGTAATTCTTGATAGTGGTAAGTTATTGGCTAAGACAATAACTAAAGACGTCAAGAGTATTTTTATATTTTTTATTTATTTTTTCTAAAGATAGGATTTTATGAGTCTCTGAATCTTCCTATTGTTTTGATACTGACGCCGAATGATGCATGCGCTACCCGCACGGCCTTCTTAGCTAAATCCTTGCGATTGTTGTCTTTCCATGATAGGTCTAGGCTGTATCCCGCTTTCTAGATTGTACCCACGATGCCACCTTTATCTTTGTTTGTTAGATTGATTCTTTTTGTTGTATTGGAGCTCCCCTTTGATAATACAGTCTGTTTATATATTTTACTTCTTCTTACCAACAGTGAGCTTGTCTATTATCATACTAGATACTCTTTTCATAACAGACGATATATTCTGCTTGGGCGTTTACTGTGGTGTCGATCCGCCTGGCTCACTCGTTGTAGTTGCGTTTTGTGTCAATTCCTCTGGCTCTGTCTGTCTGTTATTAGTGAAACTAGACTCCCACATGTCATTCGGTGGCTGGCATTTAACTGTAGACAGGCTTTACCTCAATCCCAGCGCATTTGTGTACACCACTCACTGGGTGTGTTGTAGTGCATCCTTTCGCACAACAGCGTTCACCACTAGAAGTGTCTCCCATCAGGATCTATTGTTGTACGTGCTCTAGTGTATGTATTATAGATAAAGTTACCGTCAAGCTGAGGTGAAAGGTTAAATATTCACACATGAAACCCCTTAAAACCTCTAAGAGCAGGCTGCAGGACCGGTCTGAAAAGACCGGACTCATATATAAGGGGTTGGCCAAAATAGAACTTGGACATATAATGAGGTAGATGCTTTAAAGAGGTGGACATATAAAGAGGTATGACTGTACATTTTATATATAAAACACACTAATAAATAACACAAACAGAGTCACGGACTTGTTTTATCTGTTTATGCCATCAGGTACTATATTCTATAAGAGTCAACTCTAGAGACTCCATTGATAGACAGTCAGTCAAGTCAGCAGCGCATTGGGTCTTTATAATTCTCGAATCAGTCAACTAGTTGTGTTATTAGAAGTGATATTGCTCTTATCCAGTATAATTGTAGATAAATGAAATGAACCTCGCTATTATATTGATTAATGCATAGCCTTCTTGTTTAATTTTCAGAAGGTTATAATTAATGACACTTTGAAATCAGTCAACTTTAACAGTTCTTTGGACAAGCTATTTTTGGTGAGCTGCAGTGCTACACTCTCACTGGCTATGATATTTTAAAAAGCCCTTTCTGTCGATCGTGTGTGCTGCACAGATATATTGGCTTACACAATCGCTGTCGACCTGTCCATGCTCCATAGGTTGAATGGACTCTACAGCTGCCTGCCTCAGTGAAGTCATCAGAGCCTGCCAGGGCCCTGCCTATACTCCTAAATATACAATGTACCAAATATTATTTATTTTTTAACCCGGAGTTTTTTCGATTTTTTTTTTCCTAGAAGACTGCGTGCATTTTACGATTTTAGTTTATTTTTTTATTTCCTTTTTTTTTTAAATGCCTGTTTTAAATGCCCGATAGGTCCGCGTTCATTAAGCCTGTCACTTATACGCCTGCCTAACATTAAGACTGACGCTGTCAAAATTACCATTTTTATATAAATGTCAGTGACAGGAGTGAAGGGCTGAAGGCGTGGGGCCTACAGTTTTATACAAGAAAATATAAGAATGTGAAATACAGTCACAACTTCACACAAGTCACAAGTCGCAACTCACGCACACACACACTCACACACACACACACTCACTCACTCACACACACAGAAAGAGAGAAAGAGCAGTTGCCCTGGCAAGACCCCACGCATTTAAAAATTTACTAGTAGTAGAATGCAAATTGCAAGCTCGCTGCAGTATTTTTAACTCTTATTTTGTAAAAATAGCCACTTTTTTACTTTCGTTGTATGACAATTTTCTAAATTTGTCGTTAAAAGTTGGGTTTCTTCATAATAAAATTAGTGGTTTAGATTTTTGTGTATCATTATAACTCATTTTAGTACAAAAATCTGCTTTAAACCGCACGTTAAATATAGCCAATCAAACTTGACAATGATTCGAATTTTAATATAACTGTACAGAGGCGCCCTGAGGCGGTCTGTTGCGCTATTTGAAAAAAATAAAAATATGTGCTTGACAGTTGTTGCAAATCCAGAAATTCTCAAATCTCACACGACTCGTCCCCACATTAAAAGTTTATAGTCATGTTAATGCAAATAAGTTAACACTCGAATGCATTAAGCATTTGCACCCACCCATAGTCGGCGTTCGATACAAGATCATAGCAAGTGAACAACTTAGGGCAGTTGTTACGCACAGGAGCAATCGTCACTACCATCCACAAACACACCCTGTACTGCCATCCACGAACACACACTGTACTGCCATCCACGAACACACATTGAAAGTAGCGGTTATTGCAATCTAATAAGCAAACTGCGCTTATATCTCGAAAACCCGGTACTTATATATAAATAGCTCAGCCAGCATGAAACTGCTCGTTGGTTTAGCGCTCCTGTGTGCGCAAGCAGCGACGGCACAGCGAGAATTTCAAGACATACGTAAGTTTGCTGTAGCCGCACACAAATAAGATCCCGTGTGTAATTTGCGTCTTCTATTTTAGGTGTACATTACTGTCAAACAATCTTGCAATTGAAAATATGCTATTGCTATTGAAGTTGTATGTGAAAAGAAACAGTTTAAAATTTGTGTTCTGAATTCTAGTTTAGATTGTTGTCGCATTCCGAGCAGGAGGCCCCGAACACGACCCTTCAAGTGATGTGGCAAGTGCATATATCCATACGCACGATGGTTATCGGAATAATCGAGCCATTTAGTCAGTATCTTTCATTGCACAGAGAGTACAGTTATTGTCTCTACTGGTTATGTAGTAATGCCATATACTGTACATTTATATGCTGATTGTGCTCCGATATGCTGATTGTACTATGACTAAATGCCTGTATTTTGAAGAATCCATGCCCTAATCCTAATAGTACCTTTTAAACTATTTGCAACAGAGGACGTCATGGAAGAAGGTGGTGGGGGTGATGCGGATCCCGAAACTGTGGGCAATGTGTGCTCAGATCCACGTGCGAGTAATTATATCGGAGACGGCAATACACTTTCCGAGGATGTAGATGACTCTGTGTGCCTCCACCAAATAATGAGTGTGGAACCGGGAGTTTGGACGAGTATGCCCGAATACTGTGTTGGAAACGGTAAGTGTATAGTATGTTGTAGGATGGTTTCTGTGTTTGTAAATTACAGGAATCAGCAGATGCGGATAGCCCTATATATATATATATATATATATATATATATATATGCACTATTTTGTTTTACTTATTTAT